TGCCATCTTTGGTTTTCATCACAAGGTGCTCCTTTGTGTTCAGTTCAGGCCGGAATACAACAATGTAACACTTGGGAAGGAAGATGCAGCCCAACAGCCCAGCAATGGAGGCCAAGATGGAGAAGATCTGCACGGCCACCATGTACTTGCCCTTGGTGCTCAGGTAGGAGGGCACAAAGGACACCCAGACACTGCAGAAGACCAGCATGCTGAAGGTGATCAGCTTGGCCTCATTGAAGGACCCAGGAAGCTTCCTGGCCAGGAAAGCCACCAAGAAACAGACGGCAGCCAGGAAACCCATGTAGCCAAGGGCAGTGTAGAACATTGTGAGAGACCCTTCATTGCACTGCAGGATGATCTGTTCAGCTTGGGAGTGCATGTTAGAATCTGGGAAAGGGGGAGCCATGCCTAGCCAGAGGATGCAAATAAGGATTTGAAGGCTGGAACAGGAAACAACAATGCCATTGGCCATGCTTTTTCCCAGCCACCTTCTCACACTGTTGCCTGGCTTGGTGGCCAGGAAGGCCAGCACCACAGTGATGGTTTTGGCAAGGACAGAAGAGACAGCAACCGAGAAGATGATGCTGAAAGCTGTCTGTCGGAAGAGGCAGGACACTTTCCTTGGGCGGCCAATGAAGAGGATTGCAGACATAAAGGAGAGCAGGAGAGAGAGGAGGAGAATGTAGGACAGGTCCCTATTGTTGGCCTTAACGACTGGTGTTTCTTTGTATTTCACAAAAATCCCTAATGCACAGGCTGTGGCTGAAGACAAGAACAGTGCAAGGGAAGCCAGGATGATCCCCAAAGGTTCTCCATAGGACAAGAAGGTTATAATCTTCAGGACGCATTGATCTCGGGCCTTGTTTGGGTGCTGATCTTCTGGACACTTGGTGCAATGGTGTGCATCTAAAGAAAACAGAGGTAGAGAGTGACTTCTGCATTGCTAATAGTCATTGCTGTAGATCAGTCAGTTTTCTCATATCTGGTCATAAGGACTCATCAGATCAAGACATCTCTCCTTTTTCCCAGGGGAAACTTTCCTAATGAGGGTCTTACTNTGGTTATTCCTGCAGAAGAGACTGGGTTCTTGTACCAGGCTAAAAGGACTCATCAGATCAAGGTTTCTTTCCCTTTTCCCAGGGGAACGTTTCTTCATTAGGGAAGTACTGATCAGAGGCCCAGTGTCAAGAGATGTTCACTTCAGGGGATGTACACTGTATGCAAAGTATAACTATGAAATCACTCTAGACCAAACAATCCCATCAATCTCCTGAAGGTGCTGGGACTAAGAAAACAAGTTATTTCCTGAGTCACAAGTCCATTCTGGGGATTCAGGCACAAACCATATTTCAGGTTCTCCCACTGATAGCAAGTTCTTACCTAAGGAAGTGGCAGGAAGTAAAAGGGGCAGCACTAGAACACTTCATTTCTAATGACCTCTTCTCTTGATTAACTCTTTTGGCATCTAAACTTCTTCATGCTCACTGCTAAGGAATTCTTTTGCTTATGGGTCTGCATTCCTGGCAGGCGCTGCATGCACATGGGATGCAATTGCCCAGAACTAGGACTGTGGCTCACTCCAAAGAAGACCATCGTCCACTAAGCCAAACTGAGGCATTCAGACAAAATTTTAGCAAAGTACAGAATCCTTGCTCTCACTGGGATCATCCTTAGCCATGCAGGTGTCTATAGGTCAAAAGCAGCACCTTGAATGGGCTTGGAAGCAGATAGACAACAACTCAAATGGGCCAGAACTGGTGTGATATGCTTGCACCATCTGATCCCTGTTATTAGTTTGGCAACTACAGGAGTTGCTCCAGCCTTGCAGACTCTCTCGTACACTGATGAGGAAGAGCAGGCAATGCAGTCTGGGGCCAATTCAGCTTGGGGGAGAATGTCGGGAGCAGTACTGATGGGATATTGCCAGCAGTGGGAGGGCTGATTGGGGATGATGAAAACCACAACCACAGAGAAACCACTTGATCATATGAAAATTGATCATGGATCAATCTTGTACAGTGGTTACTATGCTGGGTTGCTTATCTTGGTGCAGAAACGCAGCATTCAGACAATCAGGTCATGAAAGGCCTTATATACATAGAACTGTGTCTATCACTCAGGAGGCAGGAGAGATTCAGGAATGTCTCCATCCCATTCAGGCTTCACTATGCATGGAGCGGGAAGGCCTTCTTATTTTATCCATTCATGAACATTTCAGGAAAGTGGTTTAAAGGGACAAAAGAAAGGATCAAGCAGGAATGGGAAAGACCATTTGGCACTCTGATTTCCTTCCCCTGTTTCCCAAGGGATGCCCACATCTGAGGAGGCCCACCATGCTGCATGGAGATGGTCCCTTCAGAGCATGGAGCACAAGCATAGCAGCACGGTGGTTCTCCTTCCAGGATCTCCTTGGCATATCCAGGACGACAGCTCTCAACACACCTGGAATGAGGCACCATCTGGCAATAAAGGGATTTAACAAAAAAAGAAAAGGTTTTGTATTGGATGGTGTCCATGGAAACGAACAAACAGTGGCTGTTGGAATTCTTTAGCAATGTTCCACTGAAGTAAATATTTAATTTAGAAGTGTGGTTGAAGTTTTCCAGTTGTACAGCAACAGGAACATGTTGGACCCCAATGATGTGCATTCAGCTGAATCCTCTGACTTCTGCATCGAGGTCTTCCATTCCAGTACTCTAAGATTACTTATTTGTGGAGCCAAGAATGTCTCCAATGTTCCACCTTCAGCAGGAAAATCCTAGAGACCACTTCAGGCAACTTAGGCAGGGATAGCAGAGAGCAGTAGCTGACTGGTACACCAGCAGCATTGTCACTCCCTCATCCTGATCCAATGCCAAGTATAGGCTCATATACTAAGTGCTCTCTCATCCACATTTAAGTGTTGGTAGTAAACCTCCCAACAGAGAGGAAATTTAGAAGAAAGATGTCGAAGAAGAAGGAAATGAAAGAATAATTACTAGGTAGAAAATGTCCTAGTGGAGGTGTGCTCTAGCTGTTTTCTATATCTTCTTCTGGGTGTTCAAAGATAGGCTGGACATGCACATGGTGGGCATGTCATGAGCACAGCCGCCTGGAGTCGGGGGTCAGACTAGATGGCCCGGGAGACCCTTCTGATTTGCTCTGTTTCTATGTTTCTTCTTCCTCTTCTCCTTCTCCTTCTTCTCTCCTGCTCTCCCTCCTCCCCTCTCCCCCCCTCTCCCCCTCTCTGGCATTTTGTGTTTATTTTTCCCTTACTTTTGATGTATTTTTATATTTGTATTGATGTATTTTGGTATTGTATTCAATATTATTCAATAGAAAATTCAGAAAGATGGGAAGGGCAACACCATGCCAAATTTGCCATTTACTGTCTCTTCCATGACTTCTGCTCTGCAGAATGGGACTGCCTGCAAGACACAATGATAAATGATACCAATTTAAAGAATGAGTGGAGAGAGTAGAAGGGAGATGAAAGAAGATGCATATTTTATTCTTTGGTTGATAGATCTTATTCTAGTATTGATTATATATTTTTGTTAAAGAACTTCTTTTCTAGAGTATTGAATTCAGATATAGGTTTGATTAAAATTGCAGATCATGCATTACACATTTATTAATGTACTTTAAAATCGAATGGTCTAAAGATGCAGATTGGATTTAAATATTTTACAACATAAGCATGTAATAGATCAGACAGAGAAAGAACTAAAAGAGAATAAGAGCTTATTGATGTAGAGGTGAGTGAAGGAAGATTAATATGGGACACAATGAAGGCTATTGCAAGGGGAGTAAGTATTAGGGAACATTGTGGTCTTCAAAGGCAAAAGGCTAAACTTATGGAAGATTTGGAGGGTGAAATTTGGAAAAGAAATATACATAATGAAGACATTAAACTTTTGGTGGAAGTGCAAACTAAAGGAAAGAATTGTAGAACAGTGAAACAGGAAGAACATTGAAAACTTAATATATTTGGTAAGGGAAGCTTTCAGATATAGCAAAAAGAATTCACGGATTCTGGCCATATCTACGCAACAGAAAAGAAACAAAAATCTAATCAGATTATTTATAGATAAATGAAGTAAAAATAGTAACTTAACACTAACAAAAGACAATTAAGGAATACTTTATGGATTTTATTC